TTGAGGAGAGAGAAGATCTTCCTACGGATACTCGATGGCGTCCTCCTCCTCCTCCTCCTCCTCCTCCTCCTCCTCCTCCTCCTCCTCCTCCTCCTCCTCCAGGTCTTCACAGGGGCCACCCTCAAGGTCGCTCGGCTCATCGGCGAGTACCTTCACCTCATGCGCCTTCTCCCTCCCGTCGCACACGACGCAGTCCTCGGACTGCGCGAGCTTCTCTCCTACTACCTCCTCCTCACCGCCGACCTCTTCACTCCTCCTGACATGTCCACCAAGTCCGTCCAAGTCGGAGGAGGCATGGAGATCCTACGGCGCAGGGGAGCTGAAAGCATGCAGCTGCTCCTGCGGCACATGGAAGCTGCTCGCCCTGTGGCTCCGCTGCCGCTCCTCACGTGCCAGGCTGTGCTCAAGTCTCCGGATGCGTTCTTCGGGCTCGGAGAGCGGTGCGTGCTTGAGGAGGTGGAAGTGGACGGGAGGCAGGAGGAAATAGAGGGCAGGAGGAAGAGAGGTCGGAGAAGGCAGGAAGGAGGAGAGCAGGAGCAGGAGCAGGAGCAGGAGCAGGTGTAGGATGAGGGCGCCGAGGAGGAGGAGGAGGAGGAGGAGGAGGAGGAAGGAAAGCTGACAGATTGCAGGTGTGTGGCCATTGAGTCGCTGCTCTTCCTCGTGGAAGTGATGCAAGCCGTTCGCGTCTCTCTCTCTCAGGTGAGGAGGAGAAGGAGGAGAAGGAGGACAAGGACAAGGACAAGGAGAAAGTAGACAGGAAGTAGGCAGAAAGTAGGCAGCAGGCAGGCAGAAGATGAAGAACAAAGGGAAGGATGAAGAGATGAAAAGTGAGTGATGGTGGTGGTGGTGGTCGGAGGGAGCCAGGCAGACAGGAGAAAGCGGAGGAGGAGGAAGAGGAGGAGGAGGAGAGGAGGAGGCAAGTACCTGACGAGAGGAGCAGCTCTCGGTACCCAAGTCGGCGTCAGATGTCAAGAGCATCTTCAAGGAGATCGTGGAGCACGTGGAGGAGCTGAGGGAGATGATTTACAGTC